TGGGACTGGACGCAGGCAGGCCACTTCGATATAGCAAAGGGCCTGCCTCCTGATTCGGCATTCGGGTGCTGGCTGCATGCTGCGCAAGCGCTGCTCCGCTATTTGCTGGCTGGCGCCTACGCGCTCACGGGCGAGCAGGGAAGGAGCAGGCAGCCATAGCCGAGCTGCGCTGCTGTAAGCTGGGTGTGACGCAGGGTGGTCCTTGTGGGTGCAAGTGGCATCTGTGTTGGGGAACGAGGTTGTGAGTGTGGCGAGAGACATACCTGGTGCTGGAAGCGTGCGACATTGGTCGCTGTATGCTCGTACTTCGGGAAAGCTGTTGACGTCATCTTTCGGCATTGTAGTCTAGGCTAGATAGGATCTGCCATGTGTAGTCTGGGCGCCGAGCGCCAGATAGGATATCAACATTGGTTCTTCATTGATGATGATGATGAGGCTCTACCAGCATTGTCAATTTTGAGCTTTTGGTGTCTTCTTATTTGGTGAAACTCGTGATGCAATTCTGCTGTTGGTTCGAGGTCACGACTATCTGGTCTTGTGTATATGATGCTGTTTGATTGCTGAAGTTCGCTATTGCTCATCTTCCTTGCAATTTGGTATCGGAGCTGTGGTACGATTGCGCTCATCTGGCGCTTGTCTTCTGCCTTATGCTGTGCATACATGCGGTCTGCTTGGCGAGTTCGGCCGTAAGTGGTGTGTAGTGAGGACGGTGGAGACGAGTGATAGGCGACCGAGGAGGTGAGGGGATCACCAGGAAGGCTACGTAGTGTAATGTGGGTGTTGGACAGTGTGATGAGAACTATCTAATGTGCGATTGATGCTGAGGTGGAACGGCAAGATAATGCTGGTTGTGCCGATGCAGTGACTGGTCATCGCAATCGCCATCTGGTCATCTGGTGAGATTATCTTTGTGGTTGGGGGCAGCTATTTGAGGTACATTGCTCTTAACCTTATCTACCCTCTTCGACACTTCTTACCGTGAGGTTGTGTGTTCCTTCTTAAGAGTCCTCTCATTGTGAGGTGTCGAGTGCGCTCAACCTTGGGAGTCGGCAATGTTCACGTGGAGCATCTGGGAGAAGACGGGCGAAGCTTTCTGAAGGGCCCTGGACGAAGCACTGGTCACTGTCTCCATGCCAACCCACCGGGAGTAGAGCACGCATGCTTTGCTGCTTGTCCTTTGTTTGGCTTGCTGCGCTGTTAGATGGGTACTGAAGGGCAGGCCAGCCCTATGGGAGACGAAACCGGGCGAAATAAGCATCGGAAGGGGAACCATTGGCTGTGATCGTCGTCCGGCTGCGACGTAAAATAATTCCCGGAGTCACTTGGGGGCGGACGTCAAATTGCCTTTGGATCAGCCAATGGTTGTAAGGCTCGCTGCACGCGAGGATAATCCAGTGCAGGGCTGGCCAGCTCAGCAGATACTCGGGGCACAAGGGTGGACCGAACACACACCTTTTAGACATGCGACGCTCTCCAGATTGCTCAGGGACGCTGACGTCAAGTGATACTCAGGGGAACTAAGGGAGGGGTAGATTTCAGGTGATAAGTTCGAGAAAAATTCCATACTGTCCTATCCACACAAATGATTCTATTTTTTTGTTTTGATTAGTTAGGTGTACAACCATTGACATCTGACAGACAACATTAGTTAGAACTGTTTCTTGTTCATGGTGCTTCTGTTTGTGGACTAGTCAAACTAAAAGTAGTTCTATTTGAAGGAATCTGACTTACCTGTTGACCCCAAGTGTATCTACTCCGAAATAGCCACCAGTTAATTGGTTTGTGCACTATGCTGCGGTAGGCATCTTGACTGCACTAGTGCAGATTGTGTACAGGCCTGTAGCTTATGAGCGACGAGGAGGGCACTAGAGAGAACGACTGGATCTTGCGATCGGCGAGGCGCCCAGTAGCCCATTTGGCATTAGGTCCAGAGGGTGACAGATATCTGTTCCGCCAACGTAGAGAGAGGTTGCAGCAGCAGAGGAGGGCTAGAGCAGCAGAGGCTAGCCGGGCACTTGTGAGTGAAGCCGCAGCTTCAAAAGCTATGGCTACTTCTGCGCAACAGACTTCCCAGGCCGGTAATTCAGGGTCTGTCGGGTCAACGGTCGCGCCGATGCAGAGTCAGTCCACTGGCGTAATGGCAAGCCAGCCTATAGTGTTGACTTCTGACGAGATCGCCATACAACAGGCAGCATTGCAGGAGGCACAGGTACAAAAGACATTAGGAGAGATAAAAGCGGAGAAGGAAAGGATGATTAGAAGAAAAGCCAGGATGTAGCGTAGACAAGCGGACGTTAGTGAGTTAGAGGAGATGGACCCTGCAGAGATGGATGATGAGAGATGGATGATGATGTGAGAACCATACGGTCGGTCCTATTAAGTGTAGTGGAGATGCAAGATCACCAGACAAACATCTTACAGGACATCCAGCAGAGTCTGGCCCTGTTGGTTGGGCGAGCGCAGGCAACATCGCCAATGTCCGGGCCTAGTGCCTGGCCCGTTGTACAGCCTCCTCCTTTCGTCCCACCGGTGACTGGGGTATCCCAATATATAGTCCCATCATCGGTTGCGATCGTCTCCCAGGGCATGCCGCTATCAGGAGGGGTCTCATCAGGATCTAGTTTGCAGGTTCCTGTACAGACAGTGTTTACCCAATCTCCATTGCATGTTGCGATTACCACACAGCCTGCTGTCTCGCAGTCTGTACAGCTTCAGGGTACACAGCCCCAGCAGCTAGCACAGCAACCTATGTCAATGGGTCCACAACCCAGAGTGATGCAGGGACCGAGACAAACACAGTGGGTGCCAAAGACGGCCATCGCCGCTCGGAAACCCTTCACAGGGGATAAGAGAGGTGAAGACCTCGATACGTGGTTGAGGGCAGTGCCAGTCTATGTTAGGTGTGCTTGTGGCTGCCTCCTACCTAGAGGGTAGCGCAGCAAGATGGTTGAGTGGTTTAGTGCAGCTCCAGAGGTATGGTCATGACTTCCGCGCTTGGGCAGTCACCCAGAAATTGGATGACTTCCTTAAGTTGGTGGAGGAAAGGTGGCATGATCCTCAGGAGTCCCAAAGGGCCATTGATGCGATCCTGACACTGCACACGCGGCAGTTTAAGTCAGTAAGGGAAGCCACCGACGCTGTTGAGCGTTTGATCTGTGTCCCAGGGGTACGCTATGACCCCCAGGTACTACTCACCTCCTACCTGAGATGCTTCTCCTTGCCTCTAAGGAACCAGTTGGCAGGTGAAGCCAGCATCAATATGCACAACTTTCCTTCGTTCAACAAGAAGGCCCTAGACCTTGAGGCGAAGATAGGGCATGGAAATGCACCCACTACAGACGGAAGGAGGAAGTCACTGCCTCCTAACTGGAAGGCGAAGGGACGCATCATGTTTGTCGATAACGATGGTTCAACCATCGAACTAGACGACAACTTCCAGGAAGGAATAGATACAGAGGCTGGCAGCGCAGAAGCTTCAGAGGGTGGAGTAGTAGCTGCCGTAGCACAAAAAGGTAAGGCGACCGATAGACGCCGCGGAGGTTCCCGGTCCAGGAGTCAAGTTGACCCGAATGCTCCTCCATGGGAGAAAGTGGGTCTTACAGAGGACGTGTGGAGAGATCGGTACACACGGCAAGCTTGCATTCGTTGTGGCCAATACGGCCATAACCAGTTCAAGTGTCGAAACAAGAAGGTGACCGAGAAGATCCCGCCTACGACGGGGCAGGCGTTGGGATCCTCCCATCCCGTTGGTAGCAACGTGGCTAGTTCTTCTGGCAATGCTCCGGGAAACACGTCGGGCCAGTAGGAATACTAGCTGTTCCTGCTAGGGTCGAGGTGGTGGAAACACCCTCACCATCTCGAGAGATGGCCCAAGCTACTGACTCCAGCGTCGTCCCGCAAACACATTCAGACCCATCGAGCCTCTGTTCGATGAATGTGTTTGAGTCCTTAGAGGAGCTAGAGGAGTGGTCTAGATCAGACCCACTAGCTTCTTGGACGACACTAGTCAAAGCCCCTAAGGGTGAAATGTTCGTCAGCGAGGTTGTCATTGGCGGCCGCAAGGTCGGGGCCTATTATGACACTTGCTCGACTAGAAACTTTGTCATCCGTGCATGCATTGAGAGGCTGCGCTTACAGGGGCAAGTGCAGCGCCTGAGTCGACCTGTGGAGTCGACCTGTGCCAACAAACAGCGCATGGTAGTCAATGACTACCTCCAAGATGTGGAGTGTTGTTTCCCGTACGCGAGAGGGGAATTGAGACATTGCGTCTCATTCCTAGTGAGCGATGAACTCCCCATGGACATGTTGTTAGGTATGTACTACCTCTCTGTGGCACAGCCCCAGTGGTCAAACACACTTTGCCAGGTGGAGGGACCGCCAGATTGCACAAGTTCAAAGCTAGTAGTCTGATTGAGTCCCACGGGTGCATGTGTGCGGCCGCGTTCCACAACTATTATAAGCAAAATCAGGAGGAGGGTATGTACTTAGTTTATGTCTTTGCTGCAGGCGAGCCAGTGAATATGCCGTCGGAGATAGAGGGAGTAGTTGCCAAGTACCCTGATCTATTTGAAGAGCCGACAGGAGTTGTAGAGAGGGAGAATCCACGCGATAGAGATTATCCCAGGGTCTAGCATCCCGAAGGGTAGGATCTATCGGATGTCTCCAGGTGAGCTCGATGAGCTATGCCGACAACTCAAGGAACTCATAGAGAAGGGTTGGATCCGGCCGAGTGTCTCTCCTTATGGATCTCCAGTACTATTCGTACCTAAGAAGAAGGAGGCCACACTTAGGATGTGCATTGACTATAGGGGCCTCAATGCCATCACCGTTAAGAACAGAGAGCCCCTACCGCGTATCGATGATTTGTTAGATAGAGTGCAAGGGTGTCGGTACTTCAGTAAGATAGGTCTGAAGTCCGGGTACCATCAGATTGCAATCCAGCCCGAGGATCAACACAAAACCGCCTTTCAGACCACGTACGGTCTGTACAAGTTTGTGGTGATGCCTTTCGGCCTTTGCAATACTCCTGGCACCTTTCAGCACGCTATGAATCGGATTTTCCATGACTACTTGGATAAGTTTTTCATCGTGTACCTCGATGACATACTTATTTTTAGTAAGACTGTCGAGGAGCATGTTGCACACTTGGACAAAGTCCTTAGTCTCCTGCGACAGCACAAGTTCAAGATCAACGGTGAGAAGTGCGCGTTTGGCCGCACCTGTGTCTTGTACTTGGGTCATGAGATTTCCGCGGAAGGGTTAAAGCCCGATGACGCGAAGGTGGCCAGCATTCGTGATTGGCCACGTCCTCAGTCTGTGACTGATCTTTCTTAGGAATGACAGGCTACTATAGAACTTTCGTTAAAAACTATAGCATAGTGGCCGCTCCTTTGACTGATCTGACCCGCCTTGACACCCCATGGGAGTGGACAGATGAGTGTGAGGCTGCTTCCAGACATCTGAAGCATGCGTTGACGCACTACGAGGTCTTGAAACTTCCTGATCCTGATAAGCCGTTTATAGTCACCACGGATGCTAGCCAATACGGCATTGGCGTCGTGCTTGCGCAGCAGGAGGGGCCAAAGTTGAGGCCTGTAGAGTACATGTCCAAGAAAATGCCGTCTTAGAAGTTGGCTAAGTCCACCTATGAGAAGGAACTTTATGCGGTTTACAAGGCTCTGACCCATTGGGAGGCACTATCTCCTTGGGAGGTTCTTCATCCTCAGGACTGATCATCAGACACTGAGTTGGATGAGAACCCAACTGGTACTTTCGGACGCTCTGAAGCGTTGGATCGAAGTCATTGAACAATATGACTTTGACCCTCAGTATCTGAAAGGGGAGTACAACAAGGTTGCTGATGCCTTGTCGCGTAGGCCTGACTTCTCAGGTGCGCTGATTACTTAGTTCGATCTGACAGACGATGTTACTCGCTCTTTGGTGGAAGCCTATCGGGAGGACCAGTTTATGTCTGAGATCATACGCAGACTAGAGGCGAAGGACAAACAGACTTCTGGCGAGTTTGAATTGGTCAACGGCTTGCTGTTCCTCGAAAAGGCAGGGAATAAACGATTGTGTGTTCCAAATAGAGAGTCTTTGCGTAGTTTGTTTTTGGGTGAGTGCCATGATGCCACCGGCCATTTTGGATATAAGAAGACCGCAGCCAATCTGCTGTAGAGGTTCTGGTGGCCCACGATGATGGTAGATGCCCAGCTGTACGTAGAGACTTGTCAGGTCTGTCAAAGGGACAAGCTACGTACTCAGGCTCCTCTTGGGCTACTGAAGCCCCTTCTGATTCCGGAACGGCCTGGTGAGAGTCTGTCCATGGACTTCATGGATACTCTGGTCACCAGCAAGAGTGGGATGCGACACATCTTCGTCATCGTGGATAGATTTAGTAAATATGCTAGGTTAGTAGCAATGTCGGAAACAGCAAGGACAGAGTATGTGATCAGGATGTTCAAAGAGAACTGGGTCAGAGACTTCGGTTTACCGAAATCTATTATCAGTGACAGGGATGTCCGGTTTACCAGTGAGTTGTGGAAGGCTGCTGCTGCAGAGCAGGGAATCCAGTTGCAGATGACTTCTGGGAATCACCCAGAGGCCAACGGTCAGGCCGAGCAACTGAATCGCGCTGTACAACACCTATTGAGGCATTACATCAAGCCCAACCAGGTGGACTGGGATGAGAAGCTTGCTCTCATCGCCAGCTTGTACAATAACGCTGTACACAACGCCACCGGGGTGAGCCCAAACAGCTTACTGCTAACTTTCAAGCCTAGACTGCCCTTAGACTTTCTTCTTCCTGAGAACGAGTCCATTGCTGCACCAGGTACCTTATAATTTTTTTTTTTTTTTTTTTTTTGAACAGAACCTCCTGGTTCCGGCTCCTACCATTCTGGGGAGCGACAGTCCGGTTCCTAATACCCTGGCAAGTCAATTTGTAATACATTGGAAACTCACGCACGCTCCTCCCCATTATGGCTGGGAGGCCCGAGTGGACGGCATTGATTACTTCCCTGCGGAAGGATATACCCCCCCTCACCCCTGCATAAGTTAGCCTGCTCTGCTTTTTTCTAGTTGGCTCTTGCTAGTCTGGTTGGCCTCAGTCCTGCTACTCTCAGCTATACTGCTGTCGGGTCGGTGTGCTGTGCTAGAGAGAATTGAGGAATTTGCAGACTTCTTAAAAACCTGGGACGTTTGTTGTCCCTCGTCCCCTGACCAGGATTGGTTGGTCTTTAGGCACCTCTTTACAGTTCGCTAGCATCCTTCCTCATTCCACCTTGGGTAATGTGCCGTTTTCTCCTTCAGTAAATCATGAACCGCTTACATTCCTCTCTGAACCGTCTCTCCGATACTGCAGCCATCGATCTCTCTTGTGGCAGTTTTGGTCAGAGTGTGTTTTGCCCGTCCACCGCTGTTTGTTGCTGGTAACCCCTCCCTGAACTTGAGTTGTGCCAATCTTTCCAATAGACGCGGTCTTCTCTTAGGTCCGCCACTTTACCATTTACCAGCCAAGTTCTGCTGAAGCTCAGTCTCGCCTTCCTTTGTTGGTCCTCATCCTCTGTCCATGATTGTTTGATCCTCCGCCATCTGCAGAGGATTTCAGCTTGCATCATCGTTTTGGTTTCAGTCCAAACTTTTTCGCGTGAGTTGGCCACTCCTTCAATCGTCTTGCTGCATCTTTCCTTCCATATGATCCACAACGTCACCTTCCTTATGATTCCCAACCAAATCCTTTCTGCCTTCTGGAACTGCTCGGGAATGTTAGTCAGGAGGAGAAGTTGGATGGGTTGTTCAGGGAAGGGGGTCAGGAGGTACCTTAGAATTTGCTTATCGGTATGAACAGAAGATGCAGCAGGCTGTAGAACAGATGCAGAAGGCACAGGCTGCAATGATAGAGTCTGAAAATAGACACCGCCGTCCTTCTACGTTTCAGGTTGGGGACAGAGTCTGGGTTAAGTCTTCAGAACTGGGACAGGAGCACGGGATTTCCCACAAACTCATGCCCCAGTACTTTGGACCCTGGGAAGTCTTGGACATCGTTGGGACAGATCCGGATGGCCATCTTATGTTGTCCGGATCCCTGGTCATCTCCAAACTTAGCCTGTCTTTCACACCTCCAAGCTCACACCTTTCAAGGAAACAGATGAGTTTCCTTCATGTCGCTCAATGCTGCCCCCAACCATGGATGGAGAAGTGGACATTGATGACATCGTGGATCACAGGGAGCTGCCAGTTCAGAAACCTACAGGCAGGGGACGTCCTCCGAAACCGAAGCTGCAGTGCCGAGTTCGGTTTCGACATCATACTGATCCCAAGGAAGACCGCTGGTTCACGAGGGAAGAACTCATGCAGACCGCTCCTCAAGTTGTAGCTCGTTATGAGAAATCTCTGCAGACGGGAAAGCGCCCGATGGTCGAAGACTGAGCTTCTCAGAGGACTGTTGAAGCTAAGGAGGAGGGAATGCGAGGCCACTGCCTCTATGAGCCCCTTTCGGCCCCTCTCTTGCAGCCCGTCGGCCGCCCTATGTGATGGCAGGCTCGACGAGGCCTTCAGGGCCCTATTTTGGTCACTGCGCAACTAAGGAAATTCAGGCAGTTGCACAGCGCCAGTTGGTTGAGAGAACCC